ACCCTTTGGAGGGAAAATTTTTATATCAAAAGACATGCTGAGAAAATAAAATATACAGGTGGTGGTGCTCAGTCGGTTCTGACTCTGTGACCCCCCACGGACTGTAGCCCACTGCTCCTCTGTCCATGGGATTTCCCAGGCAAGAATACCGGAGTGGGTTGCCGTTTCCTTCTCCAGGGGATCTTCCTGACCCAGGGATTGAACCTGCATCTCCTGCTTTGGCAGGCATATTTGAAACCATTCACCTCAGACTGAGACTTGAACACAGACAAAACCCACAGTCTTCCAACGGAGATCACGCCTGGTTTCAGGACCTAATGAAACTCAGATTCTTGATGTCTCACCTCAGAAAGAATTCAGTGAGAGACAAAGTGACAGGTAAGAAGTGGATTTATTCAGAGAGAAACACACTCCACAGAGTGTGGGCCATCTCAGAGGGTGAGTGCAGCCTCAAAATGTGGTGTGGCTAGTCTTTATGGGTTGGGTAATTTCATAGGCTAATGAGTAGGAGGTTTATTCCAACTATTTTGGGGAAGAGGCAGATTATTTCCAGGAAGCAGGTCACTGCCCATGTTTTGATCTTTGATGGTCGGCCTTGGACAGAGGAGCTGGGTGGGTTACAGTCCATGGGGTTGCAAGAGTTGGACACAACTTAGCAACTAAACCACAACCTTAGAACTGTAAGGGAGCCTCTGGGTGTCCTTTAGCTTGCTGATATGTTACAATATGTGCCTTGGTAGTTCAGAGAGTAAAGAATCTGCCTGCAATGCGGGAGACCTGGGTTCAATCCCTGAGTTGGGAAGATCTCCTGGAGAATGAAAAGGCAACCCATTTCAGTATTCTTGCTTAGAGAATTCCAGGGACAGAGGAGCCTGGTGGGCTGCAGTCCATGGGATCATTAAGATTCAGACACGACCGAGCAATAACACTTTAACTATGTTACAATGAGTGTATACTGAAGATCAAAGTTTAGGTGAAGTTGACTTGTCTGCCATCTTGGAAAGGGCAATGCCAAGAAATGTTCAAACTACGATACAACTGTGCTCATTTCACCTGCTAGCAAGGTAATGCTCAAAATTCTTCAAGCTAGCCATCAACAGTACGTGAAAGGAGAACTTCTAGATGTAAAGACTGGATTTAGAAAAGGCTGAAGAACCAAAGTTGAAATTGCCAACATCCACTGGATCATATAAAACGCAAGAGAATTCCAGAAAAAATCTACTTCTGCTTCATTGACTATGCTACAGCCTTTGACTGTGTTGGTCACAACAAACTGTGGAAAATTCTTCAAGAGATGGAAATACCAGACCACCTTACCTGTCTCCTGAGAAATCTCTATGCAGGCCAAGAGGCAACAGTTACAACCAGACTTGGAGTAACAGACTGGTTCAAAATTGGGAAAAGAGTGCATCAAGGCTGTATATTGTCACCCTGCTTATTTAACTTATATGCAGAGTACATCATGAGAAACGCTGGGCTGGAAGAAGCACAAGCTAGAATCAAGATTTCCAGGAGAAATATCAATAACCTCAGATATGCAGATGTCACCACCCTAATGGCAGAAAGTGAAGAGGAACTAAAGAGCCTCTTGATGAAGGTGAAAGAGTAAAGTGAAAAAGTTGACTTAAAGCTCAACATTCAGAAAATTAAGATCATGGCATCTGTTCCCATCACTTCATGGGAAATAGATGGGGAAGCAGTGGAAACAGTGTCAGACTTTATTTTTGGGGGCTCCAAAATCACTGCAGATATTGACTGCAGCCATGAAATTAAAAGACACTCGCTCCTTGGAAAAAAAAGCTATCACCAACCTAGACAGTGTATTAAAAAGCAAAGACATCACTTTGCTGACAAAGGTCCATCTAGTCAAAGCTATAGTTTTTCCAGTAATCGTGTATGGATGTGAGAGCTGGACCATAAAGAAGGCTGAGAGCTGAAGAATTGATGCTTTTGAATTGATGCTTTAGAGAAGACTCTAAAGAATCCTTTGGACAGCAAGGAGATCAAACCAGTCAATCCTAAATGAAATCAATCCTGAATATTCACTGGAAGGACTGATGCTGAAGCTGAAGCTTCAAAACTTTGGCCACCTGATGTGAAGAGCTGACTCACTGGAAGAGACTGAACTGAGAAAGACTGAGGACAGGAGAAGGGGTGACAGAGGGTGGATGGCATCACTGACTCAATGGACATGAGTTTGAGCAAACTCTGGGAGATAGTGAAGGACAGGGAAGCCTGGCATGTTGCAGTCTATGAGGTCACAAAGAGTTGGACATGACTTGGACTTCCCTGCTGGCTCAGACGGTAAAGCGACTGCCTACAATGCGGGAGACCTGGGTTTGATCCCTGGGTCGGGAAGATCCCCTGGAGAAGGAAATGGCAACCCATTCCAGTATTCTTGCCTGGAAAATCCCATGGACGGAGGATCCTGTTAGGCTACAGACCGTGGGGTCGCAAAGAGTCGGACGCGATTGAACAACTTCACTTAGTAACTGAACAGCAGTAAAGACTTTTAAATGAACTGGGAGTCCTTGGAGGATTTTAAGCCGAGGAATGACCTGGTCTGATGTAGTACCAGGATCACTCTAGCTCTGGTAAGGGAAGAGACCTGTGAGGCTGTATTTCAGTAAAATGCATTCCAATGCTGCTGCTGGGAAGTGAGCCATCACCCCTGTCTCCTCCTGCTGGCTGGTTACAAGATCTTCTCTTTATCTCTGATGTTCTGCATCTTCATTATGACATGTTTAGGCATGGATCTGTTTTTATTTATCCAACATGGGATTTGAAGATAGCAGTACATCTGCAGTGTGCTGTTTTCCAAGAATTCTGGAGGATTAAGACAGGGTCTCTTTCCCATGTTCTCTATCATTTCCTTATGTGATTACACAGACATATATTAGACTTTCCCTCTTGATCCTTCCCACCTCAAATCCTTTCTTTCAACTATTCCATCTCCTTTATTTTTTCCCATTTTATATTTTTTATTTTATTAAAAAAATTGTATTGGGAATTCCTTGGTGGTTCAGGTGGTCAAGATTCTACGGCAGGGGCACTGGTTTGATCCCTGGTCAAGGAACTAAGAGTCCTCATGCCTTGCCCCATGACCTCCCAAATTTTACTGAAATACAGTTGATTTAAAATATCCTGTCAGTTTCAAGGGCACAGCAGTGATTCAGTTATATATTCTTTTTGAGATTCTTTTCCTTTATAGGTTATTACATAATACTGAGTAGAGTTTCCTGTGCCATATACAGTAGGTCCTTGCTGTTTACCTATTTTATACATAGTAGTGTGTATATGTTAACTCCAGACTCCTAATTTATCCTTGCCTGCCCTCACTTATTCTGTCTCTTTTAATCTCTGGACTACATGGTGAATGCTTTTTGCTTTTGTTCTTGTTTTACTTCTGTCTTCTATTTCATGATTTTTCTATTCAAGTGTATCAAATCTGTTGTTTATTTTTTTAAATTAACTTTCAAATCTCAATCATTTTAGTTTTTATTGCTAGGAATTCTATGGTATTCTTTTCCAAATCTGCTTGACCAGTCCTTAGATTATGTTGTTCTCTGTCCAAATGTTCAAGATATTAAAAAATATGTATCTGTAAACATGTTTGAATCTTATTTTTTTTAATTGTGATAAAATATACATAACATTGGAAAAGGAAATGACAACCCATTCTAGTATTCTTGCCTGAGAAATCCCATGGACAGAGGAGCCTGGTGGGCTATAGTCCATGAGGTTGAAAGCATTGGACACAACTTAGCAACTAAACCAACACCACCACGATACATAACATAAAATTTACTATGTTAACCATTTTAAGTATACAATTCAGTAGTGTTAAGTAATTCACATTGTTGTTCAACCAATCTCCAGAATTCTTTCCATCTTGCAAATTTATTTTTATTTTATTTTATTTTTTGCAAATTTATTTTTAAACTGTGAAAGGACAGAAACACTTGAAAAAACTATAGGTGAATATTTGTATTATGTACCAGAGCCTGAAACTGTAACAATTTGAATAGAAAAGTGTGAAACTTCTTTAAAATACCATGAAAACTGAGACAAACTAAAAAAACTGGGAGAATTTCTTGAAAAATATGTGAGAAAGGGTTAATAGCTTTAATACATAGAGAATAATTTCAAATCAGTAAGAAAATGTTAATAACTGCTGACCGGAATGTTAACTTATAATGCCTTCCCGAAGTCAATGTGGCATGTGTCAAAAACCTAAAAACGTGTGCTAACATTATAACTCAACAATTACACTGCCAGGGCTTTGTCCTAAAGAAACTATCTGACAAGTGTGCAGATAAGTGTGTGGCATTATTAGTTATAACATTGAAGGATTTATATATATATATCCAATCATAGTGTTGATTAAATCATACATTAGTGGACTACCACCTAGTCATTAAAATTGTAGGTATTAATTACCTCGAAGAGAGATTCATGATATAGCTGTAAACGAAAAAAAAAAAAAAAAAACAGGTTTCCAAACACCATACCACAACATACGTACAAATCATCCCATTTTGGTTAAAAAATACATTTCCTATTACCCACGTTTGATCCCTGGGTCCGGAAAATGCCCTGGAGAAGGGATTGACCACCCGCTCCCGTGTTCTTGCCTGGAGAATCCCATGGACAGAGGAGCCTGGCGGGCTACACAGCCCATGGGGTCGCAAATAGCCGGACTTGACTGAGCTGGGCAACTAACACTTTTCTTTCACTTCATACCAAAACGTTAATAGCGACTCATCGGTTGATGGAATTCTATTTTTTGGTTGCTGTTCAGTCGCTAAGTCGAGTCCGACTCTCTGAGACTCCATGGACTGTTTTTTATTCTTTCATTATTGGTACTGCCGTCACTGTTATTTTGTAGGCAGGGTATCTCCTTTTCCCTGCTCAAAGAGCATATATTCCTTACATAATAAGTTAACCGGCGGGAAACGGAGAAAATAAACGTAGCGTGGACCGGCTAGGCATGAAGGTGATCATTTCTTGATAAGGCACGCCGGCTCCCACTCCCGCGCTTCCTCAGGCTGGCCGGGGTTCGCAGCCGCCCGTGTCTGAGGCACCGCCGGGGCCGCCCGTCTCTCAGGCACCGCCGAGGCCGCCTCAGGCAGCTCGCGGGTCCTGACAGGGGGCGGGGCCCGGCAGCCCGGAAGAGGCCCCGCGCCGCGCACGCCCCTTCCTTTCCAGCGCCGGCCCCGGACACAGCAGCCGTCGCGGTGAGTCCCTCCCGTCCCGGGGTGCCATCGGCCCCCATCCTGGCCCTGTCTCCGCTGCCGCCGTCGTGCCTCGCCGGGCTTAGGGTGGCGGGGGCCCTCTTCCGCTCCCCGCACGTCCATTTCCGAGCAGGCAGGGCCCAGAAGCGCATTTCTTGGGGGTGGGGGGGGAGAGTAGTGGGGCCCTGGCAGCAAAGATTGGTGTTCGAATGGAGGAGGGGAAGATGAAGCCCTAGCGTGGCGGGAACCGTCCGGGCGAGACTGGGGAGACTGCGTCCCTTCCGCACGCTTTTTTCTTTTTTTCGGGGCAGAACCGTCACTCGGAGCTGCCTTCCTGCTCGGCCATGGAGCTCTGGTTTAGGAGTAAAGGTGTGGGCTGTGAGGGCCTCAGCGTTTTGCTTTGGGGTCAGAGGCCCGTCACGAGTCGACAGGCTTTCTTCTGGCCCCTTCTCCCTCGCCAGAAGGCACCGCCGTGCGCGTTCCGCATTAGGTACAGTTGCTGATGCGCCTCAAACACTCAGAGGGTGTAGGGTCTGAGGGGCTTCCCTGACAGCTCAGTTGGTAAAGAATCCGCCTGCAATGCAGGAGACCGCGGTTCGATTCCTGGGTCGGGAAGATCCGCTGGCGAAGGGATAGGTTACCCACTCCAGTATTCTTGGGCTTCCCCGGTGGCTCAGCTGGCAAAGATTCCGCCTGCAATGCGGGAGACCTGGGTTGGGACGATCCCCTGGAGAAGGGAAAGGCTACCCACTCCAGTATTTGGCCTGGAGAGTTCCATGGACTGTATAGTCCATGGGCTCTCAAAGAGTCGGATAGGACTGAGTGACTTTCACTATAAGGCTCTGACCCCCGCCCGGTTTATACTTGCGTTGTGAGAGTGACAATCTGGGGCGGGAATGTCCCCCTACTCCCACCCTCATTTTATCTTAACGTCCTGGCAACTCCTCACATGTTTTTGAGGGTAGAGGAGGGAACTAGTGACTGTTGGGCTTACTTTGCAGGGGTTTAAATTCCTGTTCCCTGTATGTTTTTCGGTATGTTTGAGACTTGTACCCGTTGGACAGTGACTCTTGTGTGTGTGTTCAGTCTTCGGGGGTGATGAACTGGATTATGGCCTCTGGCCACAGTGCTCAGAAGTACTCTTGCTGATTTCTTCCTTCTTGCAGATGTTGATGCCTAAAAAGAACCGGATTGCCATTTATGAACTCCTTTTTAAGGAGGGGGTGATGGTGGCCAAGAAGGATGTCCACATGCCCAAGCACCCGGAGCTGGCAGACAAGAATGTGCCCAATCTTCATGTCATGAAAGCCATGCAGGTAGCTGGGGCGCTGCTGGAGTGGGGTGCAGATAGAGGGGGGCTTTTCCACTGGTGTTCAAGGCAAATTCCAAGGCGAAGTCAGGACTCCCAGTGCTGCTTGCTACCTTAAAGGGCCGTAAGGCAGATACGCTGTGGAAGCTTGTCTGCTGTGTGGTTTAGCTTCTCATTTGCATTGCCTTCCTAGCTTCAAGCCTCTAGTTCTGTCTTAACAGTGGTTTTCCGTCTTATAGTCTCTCAAGTCACGAGGCTACGTGAAGGAACAGTTTGCCTGGAGACACTTCTACTGGTACCTCACCAACGAGGGCATCCAGTATCTCCGCGATTACCTCCACCTGCCCCCTGAGATTGTGCCCGCCACCCTGCGCCGCAGCCGTCCTGAGACTGGCCGACCACGGCCCAAAGGTATAGTACTCACATAATGTCTGCAAGAGCATCCTCTGAAGTTCTTTCTGGGGGGAGAGGTGAAATGGTGAGGTTTTGTGTGAGCAAGGAGCTGGTCTTCTTAATACACTACCATTGGAATCAATTTTTTTTTTTCATTTATTTTTATTAGTTGGAGGTGTTTTTTTTTTAAACAAAAATACAGGAGAACAAAGTCATACTTGTACTTGTTTAAATTCTTAAAGATGACCTTAGCAGGAAGACTGCTTTGAAATTTGGCACGAATCATGCCACTGTTTTCCATGAGCGCAGGTTGTCTTTTCCCAGATAACTCTGGTCTTGTTAGCTTTTTCTCCAGGAGTTAGTGTCGTTCTTTGCTTTGTACACATAAGCACATCTCTTGCCTGGATAGAATTCAATTTCATCTGAAGCATATACACCTTCAGTTTTCAGGCGAGCTGGGTGCTCCCTCTGGTTTTGTAGATGCTGCTTATAACCAACAAAAATGGCCTTGGACCACAGACTTGTAGATGTATTTGTCATCTTAGAAGTCCCTGTTTGTAGCAGGCCCCACTTGTTTGCTCTCGAAGTTCAGCTGCATGAGCTCCACAGGATCCAGGATGGGTGAAAGAGTGAAATCAGCTTTTGGGGTACTCTGGCATGCAAGATCTAAGTCAAGTCCTAGAACCTTGAATGGAATTGAACACAGGTCTTCAGGCCATCCATCCCAAGAAGTGGTATTCAACACAGGCCAGATACATGTGGTAGGGTGTTAAGGTCTACACCCTTAACTTGGTCAAGTAGACCAAGGTGTTTATTCCCCAAGAAGTCCAGAGCAAAGCTGTTTACTACATGTGAAATGAAAAGAGTTTCTTGGCAATGGGAGGAAAATAATAAGCCAATTAGGACAGAATGGATGTAGAGAGAGTGTGTATGTATATATACATATATATCTGTATATATACACACAGGTATACACAAATAGCACTGTGAAAGGAGCCTGTTTCCAGGGAGTTACCTTCTGACTTGAGATCATTGCTGGCTCACAATTGGCGTTTGTCAAGTTTATGGTTCCCTTATTTTCTTTAAAAAAAAAAAAACCCTGCACCAGAGGAGCAGTTTATGAGTTTGAGTATTGAAATGCAGAGATTACTAAAAACATGATCATCAGACTGCCTAGGTTCCCTGGAAAGACGTCATGGAGCTCAGGAATTTGTATTATTAATGAAAACTCACGAGGGTATTCTACTAGTTGGTTAGGATTACATATGTTTAGAGCAAAGCTTCTTCATTGCACCTTGGAATCAGTCTTTTATTTAAAGAATCATATAAATGCTATAGATAATTTTGTGGAGTAACAAGGTAGAGAGAATGCTAGATTAACCTTGCAGTGTTAGAATGTTAGGTAGCTTTTTAAATCTGCCTTAATACATATGTTTCACAGCCTAGTGAGGTATAAGGCAAAGCCTGAGCAGAATGAAAGGATTCTTGATGGCTTCTATTTATATACTTACATTGGAGGTAAGGCTTGCCGCTTATGGTGACTCCTTTCCTGTTTGCACTAGAAATTTTCCATTTCAGAGATGGGTCAAGTTCAAAATTTTGGCTATTCAAATGTTTGTAGAAATGACTGGGTTTCTTTATTTGTCAGATATTTGAAAATCTACGTTGAGAAATAAAATAGAAGAAAGCAGACCTTTTGCAGGTGTGGTGGTGGTGTAGTTGCCAAGTCATGTCTAACTCTTGCAACCCCAGTGGACTAGCCTGCCAGGCTCCTCTGTCCATGGGATTCTCCAGGCAAGAATACTGGAGTGGGTTGCCATGTATAACATTTTAATAGGATGTGCATTTTCCTAGGTCTTTGAGGGTCAGAATGTCAGTGATGGCAAGTATCTAGCTGACAGTTCTGGGTGTAGGAGTTCCTATCCCATTAACGTGTCATAACCAAGTTTTTGCAAAGCGAAATTGGACAGCAGTTTTTAATTTTTTTGGCCTGAAAGGAACAGAGTTGCCATGTTGCCCTGTGTTCATGCTGTGGTTTAATCTGTGCAGGTCTGGAGGGAGAGCGACCTGCAAGACTCACGCGAGGGGAAGCCGACAGAGACACCTACAGACGAAGTGCCGTGCCCCGTGAGTATCTGGCGTGTGGATCTGGTGTTGGGGTGGAGTCTGGGTATTCTGCCCTGCCTGGGGCTCGGCCCTTGAAGATGCCAAGGTGACCCAGTGAAGATCCTTGGGTTCATCTCAGATCATTCCATCTGGAGTCCATTGTGTATCTTGCCTTCTGCAGGGGTGGGAGTTAGGAGGGACACTCTGAGCTGGGGACACAAAACACTTTTAAAGACCTTTAACTAGAACAAAACTGAAAACTTTCAGGAACGCAACATGCTTTTCTTTGTTTGTGTTCCTGTGTTGTAAGTTACTCGAGGGCAGGGCCCACTCACATCACGTTTGTTTCTTTTTATTGCAAAAATAATGCAAAATCTTGTTTTTAAATAGCAGATATTTGCATTGATGGGAACCACAGATGTCTGTTCATTCAGTAGATATATTGAGTGCCTATGGTTTATGCCAGACGTGATTCTAGGAGCTAGGGAGTAGTATTGTACATAAAAAGACAAGGTGCTTTTCTTGTTGAACTTGCATTTTGGTATTAGGAGATGAATAAGCAAAAATAAAGGGTACATTCATGTCCATGATGGGTGCCACAGGGAAAAATTAAAGCAGAGGAGTAGGTATGGAAATTTCCAGTAGGATTTGCAGGGAAAGTCCTGTCAAAGTGAAATATAAGCAAACATCTGGAGGTAGGGAGGCTACTGGGGGAAGGTGTCTGGCTTGTCTAAACAGACTATGGCAGGAGTGTTAGATGAGGATGTCTTGTAGCTGTGGGCCATGGTAGGCTTGAGGTTTTACTCGGAAATAAGATGGGGAGCCATTCAGCTTGTTTTAAAGAGACTGTCCTTGTTGCAGAAATAGTAATTTGTGATATAAAAGCAATGTATAAAAGGGAATTTATACTTTTACTACTCCTGCTTGGTGGCTCAGATGGTAAAGAATCTGCTTGGAATGTAGGAGACCTGGGGAAGATCCCCTGGAGAAGGAAATGGCAGCCAACTCCAGTATTCTTGCCTGGAGAATTCCATGGACAGAGGAGCCTGGCGGGCCACAGTCTGTGGGGTTGCAGAGAGTCAGACACAACTGAATGACTCAGTGCACTTCACTCTTTCCTCCTTGTGGTACCTGATTCTTCAGATGTGAAATACTGATAGAAGTGAGCACTTGAACTAACTACTTCTAAGAAAGAATTCCTCCAGCAGACAGGCTGTCGGTTCAGAAAAAGTTCGTGGTTGCTCTTTTTAGAAGTCAGGGTCAGAGGATGTGACCGTTGCTCCTGAAGTTGAGGGTGGGGAAGTGAGCATTTCAG